TTCGTTAAATGTGTTGTTTTGAGACAGATTTGAGTGTCATTTGTTGAGATGGTCAAACATTTAATAGTTGATTTCATTAATTGTTCGCCGTTTTGATCTCACCACAGGCACATTGACGTAGTTCATTCGTGGTATTCGATAGTATGCAGAATTATGACATTTCGTCATTGGAGTATAGAAAACCAAATAAGCACGACAAACGGTTTTGCTCAAAAATGTTGACAATTCCAACAGCACTTCGTGAACCTTGAAAATTAAAATAGTGCATTCCGTCATACATACATTCATCCCCCCAATAAAGCCAATTTCAATAATATCTTACATGATTCTTATTGCTGCGAAAAATCCGTTTACGATACTGGTAAAATAAAATTTATCATCTGGCCTTTAGTTCAACTTTACTCGCATTACGCTATGCACAGATTTTCCAAATTTAGAATAACTGGATATTTGCATTGTTGAGCGCGTTAATTTATTAAAAATGGAATAAATTATTCGCCCAAATATGTTTTAATAAGAATCCTCAATCTCTATTTGTAATTGCTAGTGTTCACATAAAAATGTTTAAGACTTAACACGCGTTCACCTAATTGCTTAATATATTTGCAACATATCTGTTTTCAAGAGCACCTTCATATTAAGGGAATTTGTGAGAGAGAGGGTGTGTCAAGGTTTTAATGGAGACAAATTTGTGTTGCATCTATAACAAACTTTCTCACGAACACAGTGATCGTTACAATTGTGTCAAAATTTTGATGTTTTACGATTTCAATTTTTACTTCTAAACAGAAATGTACATTTCCCAACGATGGCTTATTATCCGGTAAAATATATAGAAATGAATTAAAATTTTATTTATCTCAAATGACAAATGGTGTTGTATATGAGGCATTGTGTGTTCGTAAGGACTTTTGGAAACCGTCGAGAGAGAATGTCTTTTGCACTTGAATTCAATGTCTCTACCTGTAATCATTATGACTTGCTTCACTTTAGTAGAATTTTGTACAAATGAAACACCTCGACACTAAATTCTGTCAAATTTTGTTATCTTGCTAAGAGTTATCTTAGAGTCGGCAACGGTTTTAATTCGCGAGCTTGACAGTCTCTTTCGAGGGTCACAGAACACCAGTGACTGGCGTAGCCGTATTAACCAAATGCAGATACAACTGGTTTGAGTTCTACTCTAGACAACGTCTCATTGGCTATTCACCCTGCTCTCATTCCAACAACAGACCTTTCTGGATGACTCGATCTATGGTCAATCAATGATAACCACGAGGTAACGACTGCATTGTAGTGTGCTGCAATTTTGTAGTTGGCCTGATTTTTGGACCTAATTTTATGCCAATGCGAGATGCCAATAGCCTCAATTCAAACCGAGGGAGATGCTCTTCTGAATCAGAGTTGATTTCACAGGAAGGGTCACCACCTTGCCATCAGTGGAAATGATGGACGAATAGGGCTCTTTGAGCTTAACGAGGTACGTCATTCAAAAGCGTATTGACCCACCTCTCCTTCTGCTCATATTTGAAACAACATTGATTTCCATGAGCATTTGCATTATTAAACTTTTAACGTAGGCAGAACCCATGTGAGCGTTTGTTCATTTTCATTGTCTGCCTAAATCATAGTATACTGTCTGTCTCTCTGTCTGTCTGACTCGAAATGAAGTGTTGAGTGAAACCTTCAGTGTAGGGTATGCTGGGAAAAGGAATTCGGATTGTGAAATTGAGAGATTTTGGTATGGAACTCGGCTTTGGCTGTCCTTTATCCAAAAGTCATTTGTTTTAAAAAGATTAAACAGTCGAAAAAGGAAAATTTTTGAATTGAGGGAAAATTTCTAGAAGAGACAATTGTTTATTTGCATTTGGATTCGAATAATTACAATTTCATTGGCCAAATTCTGCAGTGAAATTGGGAGATTGCCTTTCATGTTCAAAATCAAAATAAATACACTTCGTGAAACATTTAGGATGACCAGAATTTAATGCGTTCCGAATGAGTTCCAGGATTAAATAAGAAAGATCTAATTTCCATTTGAACATTTTAGATCTGTAAATAGAGTCCTTTGCTCAGTTTCAATCGATGACTCCAAGCATCATCATTTGGCTTTCTCATCCACAAGAGGTATACACTTCAGATATCATTCATTCGAAGTTAAGAATACAATGGGGCACAATTGAACTCACGTGTCTTTATGTGCGTCATCCAATTCGTAAACATTTTTGCGATGTAGCTTTTTAAAGAACAATCTTTGAGGCTGGAGGTATTGGCTTGTGAGGACAACATGGAGATTTACTAAGAAACCACTCCCGACAGTCACTCACTGCCAACATTGAAACTGAACCTGGTCTACTACACCTCAAGGAATGAACATCTACAGTTTGTGCGTATGTACGGGTAGAGCCTTCAACATAAACACAAACCCTTGAAAAATTCGACTGTGGGAGTGAACCATGGTAACAACATTATGGTGAATGAGCAACAAAGTTGGAATAAGTAAAGACCTTTGAAACGAATCAATAGTCTTCAAGGAATTTACGCAAATTTGTCTGGGCCTCCATCAATAAAAAATTCTCCGTTTTCGAGCACGCGTATTGCTCCACTTCATTATCTATCTGTGGACAGGTTAACAAGAAATAACCCCCTTTAATAGATAAATTGACCTTACTGACCTCGGAACTCCCTAATCAAATGAGATAGAAATTAAAAGTAAATCTTGATAACAAAGATATGGCATTAATGATATCACAAAGGAATTATTCTCAAGTTGTTGAAGGAGTAAGGAGTTTTGTTTGTTTCCTCATCAACACTGGGGAGAGCTTTCTCATGAACTGAGATGATGATCTCTATTCAATTTCACTTCA